TGAGATGGCTGTCCAGTGCTCAGAGCCTATCCTATCATTATCCTGTACTGCCTAAAAAACAATAGAGGTTTAGTAAACCTATACAGCTTGACACTCTGATACCATGCCATCATAGTTTCTGTGCTTCTCTTTTGCATATACTTCCTGATATCATACTGTATGCACTTCTCTCCTGTACATACTGCCCTTTGAGATACTTTACAATTGTTTGTAATTTTCCTATCATTGCCTGTTCTTGAGCAGAAACACTGTTCGGTTTAGCCTGCGTAGCCCACACAAGGGCAGGAATTTGAACACATACATGAGCAGCATTAAAGGAGAACTATGAGGTGAGTGCTTTTCACTCACCTCATAGTTCTAGCTGACCTGTGACAATGAGACTGTCACAGGTCGGCTCAGTAGATCGGGAGGTGAGCGAACACATACCGGGTTCGCTCGCCTCTCGATCCTGTCACGGCTCTCTGCCAGTACAGGGAGATCAGTACAGGATCTCCCTCTGATCTACGGGGACAGAGCCGCCGTGACGGTCCCGGCCCGCACCGGGCACAGCGGATCTCAAGAGTGGCGGTGGTGGCCTCTGCAGATGCCGGAACACTTGTATTTAAACAGCCATTGTTGGCTGTTTACATTTGACAGTTTCCGAGTGGGGAGGGGAGGGATGTCTTGAAACGCCCAACCGCATCTACAGGGCTTCCATTTGGCCTATTAGGTACAGCCGCTGGATTGGTAGGTGGTTAACACACATTTTTTTGGGCACTTTTTTTATTTTTTAAACACCCCCCGAACCCCCCCCGCTCTCTGGTTAGGGGGAGTGGTTAGTTGATCACAGGTGTCTCTTATTAATCAAGTGTACTATAAGCAACTACACAACTCAAATTCAGCTTGCTCACAGAGGCTTGTGAACAAAATGGCTGGAATAAGTTGAATTTAAACATTGTAGTTTAAACAAATATAGTTTAACCTGTAAGTAACATCTTAACCTCATTCCTGACCAATGACGGGATTATTCCTTCGCAAGCTTTCAGTTCATTAAAGACTGGTGACGGAATAATCTCATCATGCGGTAAAAAGAGTGCTAGTCCTTTTTAAAAAATGGTATATAATATGTGTAGGTGCAATGATAAGGAAGATGTAATTATTGTTAAACAAACACATAGCAAAAATGGCAAAATTGCGCTGGTCCCCACAAACTAAAATATTTTCCGAAGCTGTTACTAAGAGGTTAAACTTCCTGTAAATAATATAAACTGGGATGATAGCTGAGGGAGCACCCCATCTAGTCTGGGCAGTGAGGGTACGCAGTAGGGCTGCAGCTAACGATTATTTTCATAATCGATTAGTTAGCCGATTATTAGGTTCGATTTAATTGGATAAAAAAAAAAGGCTGCAGTGATGGACTACTAGTTTCTATTGAGATTGTAGTCCATCACGGGAGCAAGCTTGGCGCGGTGGAAGTAAAAAAAGAGTGTGGTGTGCAATATAGTACATTATACAGCGGCGCAGTGCAGAATACCAGCAGCTATAGAGGAATGTAGCAATAGTACATTATACATTTGTAGTCCTCTGTAGCTGGGGTTATTCTGCATTGCGCTTTATATAATGTATTATTGCTGGTATTTGTCGTCCTCTATAGCTGGTGGTATTCTGCAGTACGCTGTATAATGATTATACGGCGAAATGCAGAATACCATGGCGTAGGCGCGAGCGGCTTAACCGGCGTGGCGTCAGCGGGAAATTTGAATTTTAGCCGGCGAATCGACGATGGAAAACGCTGACAACGTTTTTAATCGACTTAATCGAATATTTGTTGCAGCTCTAGTACGCAGGGAGACCTAGACAGTTGGTGGTAATGGGGGATTCCATCATCCAGAGGACCGATAGAATAGTTTATCGCCCAGATCACCTTAACCCAGGGGTGGGCAAACTCTGGCCCTCCAGCTGTTGTGGAACTACAACTCCCAGGAGACATTGCAAGATTTTCATAGCCACAGGCATGACTCCCAGAGACAGATGCATGATTGGATTTGTAGTTTCGGCACAGCTGGAAGGCCAGAGTTTGCCCACCCCTACCTTAACCGAATGCTTTGCGTTTGTTCACCAATGCCAGAAGTCTGCCAAGCAAAATAGGAGAGTTTGGAGTTTTGGTAAATAAAGAGCAATGTCATTTTATTGGTATTGCTGAATCTTGGCTTTGTTCTTCACCTGATTTGTCTGTTAAATATTCCTGGCTATGCTCTGTTTTGGAGAGACAGGGTAAAACTAAAAGGTAGCAGTGTTCTTCTCTATGTGAGTAGTGATCTAAAAGTGAGTGTAAAAGAGAAGTGTTGCTGGTAAGTGTGATGGTGCTGAGGCATTGTGGGTGGAATTACATATGGGTGTGCATACTGCGCAGATAATTAAGTTTTACAGGCCTTCTAGTGTTAAAGTGACATTAAAGTCGTCCGTCTCAGCCCCCCCCAATGTTGCTGTAACCACTTGCCTTATTTGATACCTCTTGATCCGATCATCATCTTCATTCCACGTGTTTCCGATAGTCCCTCTAGTGCTGGTGCCGGTCTCTGATCCACAGCAGACTATTTGGGTCCTACGGTGTTTGTCTGACATGCGTGCTGCCGCCTGCGTCCTTGGAGTTTAATGTTCTCTCTTCTTCCCTCCGCTCTACTGCGCTTGCACCTGCACACTTCTTCACAGCCAGGAGTTCTTCAGCTGGGGAGCAAGCGGCACTGGAAAAGGTGAGTAATTAGGTATTTGCCTAATCCCCCTTCTTTTTTTTTTTTTTTAATCATGGGGCATTTATCTACTGCTTGTTAGCAGTAAATATCTGCCAGAAAATGAAAAACTTTAAAGTGACATTAAACCCTCAGATTTTTTAACATAAACCAATACTGTAATGTGCGCCTTAATGTAATCCATGGTAGTGTCCCTTCTCTTTGCTGCTCTTCCTTTTTAAATCCTCATGTCTTTTGCAGCTGACTGCCTCTTCCTGTAGTGCTGGCTCAGGTTGCAAACTTACACACAGACACCATGTATCCATTTCAGAGACAAGGCAGTCTGCTGCAAAACAGAAGTTCTGCCCAGCATGAGAACAGATACAGATTTAAAAGGAAGAGCAGCAAAGAGAAGGGAAACAACCATGGATTACAGTGAGGCACACATTACAGTATTGTTTTATGTTAAAAAAATCTGAGGGTTTGTCACTTTATACTTTATTGAGGATATAGAGACTTGGCTTCTTAAGGTGCCCATACACTTTACAACCATGGCAAGATCTTAGTCTTGCGATGGTTGTAAAGTAATTTAAAAAACGTACGATCTGCCCATCTTGGATATGCAGATCGTACTTGCGATCATCGCAAGCCCGCCCCCCTGGGGGCGCGCTTGCGGTGACCGCAATGCTGAACGTGCAGTGTGCGCGTACGCACACCGGCCCGTTCGGCGTTTGTGTCCCGAGCATCATTCAAACCAGCTGAAAATCGTAAGACAAGACGTGTGACCGTACAGTAGAAACGGTTGCACACCTTCATTCACACTGCACGATTCTCGTACGATCGCGGGATTTCCGCTATTCTCGTACGAGACTCGTGCAATGTATGGGCACCATTACACAGAAAGAGTGTCAAGGGCTGGGATAGTCGTAATAATTGGAGATTTTAACTACCCTGACATTGACTGGCATAATGGCATTGCTGCAACAGTAAAAGGGTGGACATTTTATAAACTTTATAGCAAGACCATTTTATGGAAACCCTAACAAATTGTTCTGAATCTGTTAATCTCAAACAATGCAGAGCTTATTACAAATGTTCATATGAAAGAAAAACACATTGCAGAATACACTGATCAGCCATAACATTATGACCACTGACAGATGAAGTGCATAACATTGATTTTCTCATTGCATTGGCAGCTAGAAGTGGGTGATATATATTAGGCAGCAAGTGAACATTTTGTCCCTGAAGTTTGTGTTGGAGGCAGCAAAATGGGCAAGCGTAAGGATTTGAGCGACTTTGACAAGGGCAAATTATGATGGCTAGCCACGGTCAGAGCAACTCCAAAACTGCAAGTGTGCAAAATGTTACCCTGCTGACTGCAACCCCTAAATCATCTGTCCCTATAAGATGGAACTTCTTTTGCGATGCACATGTGTATCCAATACCACTGCAAGAGTACTTTATAAGCAGATTCCAAGACAGTTGTGTTAAAGGAGCAACAACGTAGGATTGAGGAGAATTAGGTGAACAAGTGAATATAGGTTTAGGGATCTTGGTGAATGCAAGCACACGTTCAAACACTGATTTAATGTATAGGAACTTAGTGCTTTGATAAGTGTGGAAATCCAGTGAAAAATAATTGGTGGTCCACCAGGAGGAGGGCCTTGGATTGCCCATCCCAGGTAGAAGGTGGAGAATAATTAATAATAAAGAAACAAAGTTAGAAAAGGAGATATGCCCCTATGAGAGTAAGAAACTGAGTCACGTGCTGTGGAGCATCAGGGGGCTCAAACAGGATGGCCAGGCAGAATATGGGAGGCAAAGAAGGGTGATTATCTGAGTTCTATCACAATTTGGGATGTCTAGCAAGACCTGGATATTGGTATTATGTCTTGTATGGAAGAGAGAGATGTGCAGTCTGAGCAGCCTTGTAGTACTTGTCAATGTTCGGGACACTTGGGGCCCCCTTGTAGCCTGTGTGTGAAGAGAGTTGCGCGGAGTATCTGTTGTCTTTTATGTGTCCATCCTTTCCTGTCAAGTTGCGGAGATGGTACAAAATTTTGTGAACAAGAGACATCCTATCTGCATTCATCAGGCCTATCCAAAAATGCAAGGTGCCAAGATTATAGATGTGTGGCCAAAGACTGTAGCAATGGGTAGTAACTGGCAGAGAATGGAGTGAAGTATAAGGGAGTAAGTTGAACCTTGAGCCCCCAAGTAGGGCAGTGAGGATGATATCCAGTAGGAGAATTGGGCAAACTGATCAAAGGTTCAGCTTAGGTTAGTAAGGATGGTAAAGTGATTAGTGTGGGTCAGAATACCATCATCTGCAAATTGATTGAATTTGATGGCCAGCATTGGGAACAGAAGCACTTTTGATAGTAAGGAATAATGATACAGGTGTCTCTTGATGTGCAGAAAATGTGCACATCACATGCCACTTACCGTAATTGAAGTGGGTGAACTCTCTATGTGATCCTCCCTTTTTTTTTGTGCTTTACAGCTTCTGTTAAAGCAACTGATGAATGTTTATTGGTCAGTCCTCGACCTTGCCCCCAAGCCTTCTGCCCCACCACCCACTGGCATGGCTAGCCTTGTTGCTTAGCACGGTTAGAGGTGGAGAAGGATCTTGGCGTCCTTATAGACCACAGACTCAGTAATAGCATGCAGTGCCTGCCGGCTGCGGCTAATAGAGCGAGTAGTATATTATCTTAAGACACACAAGGAAAGAGCGCTACTACAGTGGAAGGAGATGTGACTCACGTTTCTGCTGTCAGCATGTAGCATGGGAGCTTGTCTGGTATCCGTATGGCACGGGAAGTGTCGCTGGAAGGCATCTGCTGAAACCGATTGCCGTTGTCAACACGGACTCAGCTGGCCAGGCTGAGCCTTGGCGGCAGTGACAGGAGGCTGTGTCTATGCCGGACGGCTCGGGAAACTTGGTGGTCTGTGGGTGCGGTATGTCCGCAGTGTTATTGACAATCTGTCGCGGTCATACAGCAAAACAAGGCAGAGGGATCGACAATGACTGAACGGAGAGATATCTCTAGCTTGCAGCTGCTACGCGTTTCGAGGCGCTGCTCTTTCTCAAGCCTAGAAAGTTAGTGCGACCGCCTCCTGTCCCTGCCGCCACGGCTCCGCCTGGCCAGCTGAGTCTGTGTTGACAACGGCAATCTGTTTCAGCATATGCCTTCCAGCGACACTTCCCATGCCATTACGGATACCAGACAAGCTCCCATGCTACATGCTGACAGCAGAAACGTGAATCGCATCTCCTTCCACAGTAGTAGCGCTACTAGCTGCCGAATACACTTTCTTTAAATATTTTCTATATAAAAGCATATTTCTATTGGGAGTAGAGCTGCAGCTAACGATTATTTTCAAAATCTTTAGTTAGCCGATTATTAAGTTTGATCGGATAAAAAATAAAATAAATGCTAAAAAATGGCTCCAGTGATGGGACTACTGTATGTGAAGAAACTTCATCCGTCAGCGTTTGTTTCCCTCTTTTTGGCCCTGTAATGAATGGCTCCAGGCGGAGTGGTAATGAGCAGAGTGTTATTTATTTAGCTTAGAGAAAAATCTCTTTTTATATGAGGACAGGAAAACCGATTGCCAGTTAGTCCATAAATGGCCAAATACATTATTTCCATAAATACTGTATGCCATATACCCAGACAGGGACCTGCAGTGTTATTTCTTAGGGTAGTGTACTTGCATTTAGTGTGGCAGCACCTCGGGGTCCATCCTCTCCCCCATGCTTCCAGTCACACACAGCAGAACTCTTCCAAGGCACAGTTTAACTGCCAGCATGCTGTGTGCCACGCCCCCTTCCTGCTCTCTCTGGCAACATGCACAGTGCCCGAAACCAAGGACACTAGAGGTGCACTAAAATGAAATTTCCCCAGTCATCTTCCAGGACAGCCCATGAGAGAAGGCTCCGCCTGCCTGCAACAGGAAACACATCAACCACATTAAATAAATAGACTCCACCTTCCATTCCAATTCAGTTTTTTTGTGTTTCCTCCGTCTACACAGGGACATCGTAATGTTTGTTATTTTTTGGCTCAGGATTTGATTGCTTTAGGGCATGAGCCTGACCCTGTATGTGTTGGGACCACTCCGGGCATAGCCTGCTGCGGAGCATGCAGGGTTTTCCCTATCGGACCCCCATCCGAGTTGGCCAAGGTTCCCCTCCGTCGCTCAGGGAGGGAAACCATCCTCCCTGGTGTGCAGTGCGGTGAGTCCTAACATGGAGCACCCCCTTGTGAAATGTGGTTGCCAGCAGCAAACACACTGGCAGTTGGCAAAATGGATACCCCCAATGGGGCTTACCTTGTGTGGTTGGTGGGGTTCCCCCCCTCGAGGGCTCTCTGGGCAGGGGGGACGGTGGTCTCCTTGATGGCTGTACCCTCGCCGCGGCACCGCGTGGTGTCTCACGCGGGAGGGTATCAGCGTCGCCATTTGCAGAGGAGGATTCAGGCCTGTGGGACAAATGCCCGAAAATTGATGCATCCTTATCAAAGGTCTCTAAAAAGACTGATACATTTTTTTTAATCTTTACTGTTTTAGGCTCTGGGAAATATCAGGGGTCTAAACAGATCCCTGATATTTCCCTTTCAAAATAGATAGAGAGATTGAGGACACAGTCCTCCAATCTTTTTCTGCAGCCCCTGTTCTGAATGAACAGGAATCCTCTATACTGAGTGTTTCTGTTCATTCATAACTTGTGGAGATGGTATGTTTACTATATCCACGATCATGAATGAACAGGAAATGACGTAGAGCACTTCCTGTTCATTCATAACTGGGTACACGGTAAGCATACTGAGGGGAATGTATCAAAACTG